GTGCTGGGATTAAAGGCGCATGCCACCACGCCCGGCCTAGTAATAAATAAGTTTTTAGAAATGTCTGACCTGTGAAATAATTCCATCCTGAAAAGTCACTTGTAGAAGATGAGGCCTAAGGAAAGAGGGATAGATTTGGCTGGACATAAAGGGGAGACACACTCAGGGTGGGATTGGTATTGCTTGAAATTAGCAAATGATGTGGGGAGGGATAGTAAAAAGGCTATCTTCTAGGAATCAGGAAAATAAATTATGGATTGGTGAGAAAACTGCTTATCTAAGGTGAAGTCAATTGATAGAAGGTCTTGGAGTTTAACCACCTAAAGGGAATTGAGGTAGATTCTTGAGCAATGAAATGATGCAATAAAAGCAATGTTTTAGGAAAGTTAATCTGAAAATTGAATGTAAAATAGTGAATGTGGGAAGAATAGCTTCATCAATTTTACCATTATATCCACAGCACCTGGCCCATAGCAGGAGCTCCAATGATCAAATGAAAAGAGCTGTTGTAATAATCTAGACAAGAAGCAATGAAACTGTAAACTAGGAAGGGGACTTACTGCCAAGATATAAAATTTAAGTTTCAGTTGCAGGAGCAGCTTAAAACAATAACCATTTTATTATATTTCATGATTTTATGGGTCAGGAATTTGGGCAAGCCTCAACTGGTTGAATTTTCTACTGAGAGTGTCAACTGAGATTACTTACTGGTACTTAACTGATGAATAATGCTGGTTTGGATGGTCCAAGATGGCTTCACTAATAAGTCTGGTAGGGATCGCTGGAAGGCTAAGATCTGCTAGGACTAATGCTTAGAGTGCCTACACATGACCTTGTCAATGTGGTGCTTTCAGGTTGGACTTCTCATGTGGCCATTTGAACCATAAAAGGAATATTCCAAGGGATCAAAGTGGATAAGCTTCTTCATAGCAAGTTTCAGATATAAAAAAAGTTGCAGTTCTTTCATAATGAACTATACACAAATGTCACAGGGCCAACCAAGATCCCAGGAAAGAGGTTGCACAAAGGTATGACTCCTGTGAAGGTATGGTTCACTGAAGAGACTAACTTCCACAGCAGAGATTCAAGGTTCTTATCTGCACAGGTAAAGGCACCACTCACGTTTTCATCACGATGTTATGTTAATGAGTCTCAAACTCTTTCACTGTCAATGTTGTCTAGTAGTCTTACTTACATTTAAAAAAACCCTGGAATTAACTTCATTTCCTCTTGAAAGTTTTTCTTAAGCTCTTATTGCTTGACACTGATACTTCTTCCTGGTGTGACAGGACTATGTTTAGAGCTCTTGTTTTTCACATGAAATTTTTTTCCTTCTTGGTTCTGTGATGACACTTAGGATCTGAGTGCCCCCTTGTCCATATGTATCGCAGATCTTAAAGCAGGAGGCTTTTGTTTTCATGAAGCCTGAGTTTCCTAAATCTGCTATACAGGAGGTAGAAGCAAGGGTTGAAATGTCATAGAACCTGGCCAGTCGTTAGTTCTGAGCAGCTTCGCAGAGTACGACTCCCAGGCCCATTCATCCACCTTCTGTGCCCCTCCACACCCATGAAGTCTCCTGAGTCACCTCTTGGGGATCTCTGCTTCCATGGTATGGGGAGGGGGTGATCACTGTTCTCAATCAATCATTCTTCATCTCTTAGGAAGCAAATGGAAATAGTGGAGAGGTTGAAGAACTTCTGTTACAACCATGTTTCTCTTTTGCATGTAAAGGGGATAAAGGAAGCTGTAGTTCCCACTGATAATAACTTAGCCTGGAAGTATAAAAGAAGGCTGATATTGGTGATCAAAACTAGACAGTTGAGTAGTTGGGTATTGGTAAGGGCATAGAGGACAATGAATTCTATCTTTGGGTTGGTAAATATGACACTGTCTTAAACAAAGTTGCCTGTAAACAGCTGGACACATGAGAATGCCTCACAGATGAAAAGGTCAGGGTTTATATGAGATTCCAGAGGTTGTTGAAGAAGTGATCTCAGAGATAACAGGACTTCATAACACTCTACTGCAAAGGCTGGAAACCAGTGTCACAGCTGCCACATTCGGCCCAGGCATGTTTTACTTATATCATGTGTTACATAAACTATTCTGGCCTGTTTGATTTAATTTTACAATCCGGGGCTTACATATAGACATTATACCTTTTCTGGAAAATAGAAAAGCTGCACTGTTGAGACCACATTCTTCTGTGGTAGTTGTTAAACAGCCACTGCTGTTTCAGACAGGCTGTCCCTGGACAGTCACAGTCTTTTGGAATCAACTTCACCCACTTAATGGCAGCAAAAGTAACTAAGATTCTCTTCCTGATCAAATTCTAGCCAGGTTCCTCTGGCTTTTCTCAATTGGGCCTTAACCTTGGTCTATATAGATTTGAAAAAAAGACACTAACTTATTTGACCCCAGCTCCTTTAAAACGTCGTTGTCAGGAAATTCAAGACTATCAGAGAATAGTATTGTTCAGAAAACAGCAGACAATGGGGTCTCTGTGGGGGACTTGGAGCCTAGCTTCTATAAGCTGTAGTTAACAAACCCATAAGGATTTCACATAGACCACCCCCCATGCTGACCTTTTGTAATTTTCCATTTCTCTGACTCTGAGACCCAGCTCATCTTCCTCTGTATTCCTCCATTCTTCCTTTAAAACACTCAGTTATCTCAGTACAAACCAGAGTCAGCTCCCTGTGAGCCCTTTTTTTCCTATTGCAACAGCATGTGACTGATTAAACTCTGTACTTAGCACTTAGGATCTGGCTTTATTTATCTTTAACAGAGACTAATAGTCAAAGAAACCAATGAAGGCATTAGGTTTAATGTTGGATTTCTTTTGTTTTGTTTTTGTGAGGTTTTGTTTTATTTGGTTTTGTTGTTTTGTTTGACACAGGGTCTCTCTACCTACTCCAGGCTGGCCTGAAACTCACTATGTATTCTAGGCTGGTCTTGAACTTGCAATCCTTCTATCTTAGCCTCCCAAGTATGGGGATTGCCCAAGTGTATCACCACAGCCCATGAATTGTTATATTTTAAAGATGGGGAGACTAAGCATATTTGTTTCCTCTTTTCATTCAGGGAAGCTGAAAAAAGGGAGAAATCAGTGATGGAAGATGAAGAATATTGGTAAAATCTGGGACCTGCAGAATTAAAAATATAAATGAAAACCTACTTTTAGGGAGGAAGAGAACTAACTCCTTTTGAAATTAGTGATAGAGATGACAGGACATAAACATAATGAAGAAATCAGATGAGACTGAGGGGGCAAGAACGAAAAATCTCTCCTTTACTCACTAGGCTGGGCTAAAAGAGATAAAGCCTGCTACAAATGGAACCGGAAAAAGTATCTCTTTCAAGGACATGCTATATCCATGAAGTGTCACAACATGCTCCTTTGAGTGACTAATGAAAAACTTTGTTCTCTAAAGTCATTGGGAAACTGTTGTTTCAAATGATATCAGTAAGAATAAAACCCTCCACTCATGCCTGGGGGATCTAAGAAGCAAAGAAACCTTGATTTCCAAGGCTGAACAGCTTCAGAAAAAGGACATTCTACATATGTGTGTTAACTGTGCAATGTTCAAGGAAAACAGCCCACTGTAATCCAGACCTGAGGCTGGTACCTTTACTCAAGTTCTGCTTTGCTTGTAGCCTATCAAAACTCTGGATCCTTTACATTTTATCCAATTCCACACTTCCTGAAGCCTATAATCACCCCCATCTTTTCCTTTATTACAAAGATTCTCCACTGTTTCTCCGTTGTGAGCTCTCCTTCACGGCGGTGGGCCAGTCAACCTGAATCTATTGAACTATGGATTTAGTTTCTGGAGGTGCTAGGATGCTTGAGAGAGTTCAGGGATCGGTGGAGCCTTCCATAGTTTATCACTCATTTTACCAGTAAAATCCAGGCTCATAAGAGAGTCTTCTAATTGTCGTGGCAGTTTTCCTTTGCAGCGGCTCAGGGCGATTTCCACATAAAACACCTTTATGGTATTCACCTTCTGAATAATAGAATGCTAAGTCATTTGTTCTAGCACTGCAAGAGATGGATGAACGCAGGACCTCCCGCTTTCTAAAGCAAGCACCCCAGCCTCTAGAGTAGTTTTCTTAGATACGTAATCTACACATTTAGCTAGGCCTTTTAAGACAGTCTTTATGCATCCAGGCATCATTCCTCCAGTGTTGTAATTGAGTTAGGTTTCCGGTCTGCTAGTGGGATCTCAGATTCAAAACCAAGGTTCGTGATGCTGCAGCCCACCAGTGTAAGATCAAGAAGCCCTGGGCAGCTGAAGGTGACAGATACCGAAGTGACGGGGGCGGGGGGTGGAAAAGAAAAAGCTCTTCCCTCGCACCCTACGGTTGCTTTCGCATTTCTTCAGAAACTTTCATTATTTGAGAGGAATTTCCTTTTTCTTTGTTATTTGTCTGCCCAACCCAATTCTCTCTCGGGGTGGGGGTGGGGAGGACCAACTGCCGCCACTGGAGCCGTGCCCCACCCTTCATTCAAATCTTCCCTTTTTCTGACGCTCGTAAAAAACCACCCCCCCCCCCAACACGACAAAACACCACAACACGGCCACGCCACATACAACACGGCCAAACAACATCAACACACACACACACACACACACAAAAAAAACCCCCCCCCCCCCAAAAAAAAAACAAACAAAAAACTTCGCACCAGCAACAATTTTCCCCCCTTAGGCCAAAATGAAAGCAAACACTTCCTTGTGGGCATCTTGTGTTGTACTTAAACAAACGACACCATTAAGTAGTTAAAAATCCTTCCCCGAAGAAGGTTAAGCGAACTTCCTCTACTCTAGGGAATTCTGCAGTAGCGGAGACGCAGGGTCCTAAGGGCACTTCTGGGAGTGAACTTCGAGGGAACTTAACTCCGCGTCCCTGGCCAGGGGCAAACTCAGAGCCGGCGGCCGCCGGTGGCTCAGTGAGGCCGCTGATTGGCTGCTGGGCCGGGCTCCCCGCGCCTGCGCAGAGTTCCTCCCGCCTGCCCAGCCGCCTTGGGTCTCAGGTCTTTGGAGCGATTGTGCGTCGGCCGGCAACTAAGCCCACGAGCGGTCCGCACAGCCTAGCGAGCCGACGGGTGGTCCCGGTCTGCACCTCCCGACGAGAAAGGCGGGCGCGGTTGTCCTGCCCGGCAGCCTACACCGGCCGACCAGGAGAAGCTGGGGCGCTGCCGGCGCTGCCGCCATGGCTGCCATGATGGAGCGGAAGTGAGCCTCGGGCGAGGGCTGCGGCGCCGGCGCTTCGTCCGCTCCCGGCCCTGCCCTGGGCGCGCGGTGCGGCGGAGCCAAGACTTTCCCGGGCCTCGCGGTCTGTCGGCTCCCGCTGCTTCCCCCGAGCCTGAGCGGCAGGGGACACTGAACAGCGGGGAGTGGCTGGCGGCCTGTGGCACCGGCGGCCGGAAAGATGGCGGACCCGGCCGAGTGCAACATCAAAGTGATGTGTCGCTTCAGACCTCTCAACGAGTCGGAGGTGAACCGCGGCGACAAGTACGTCGCCAAGTTCCAGGGAGAAGACACGGTGGTAATCGCGGTGAGTGGCCCCCGCCCGTGGTCCGGCTGGGCGGCGACTTGGGGGACGTGGTGGGGCCTGAGGCTCGTCCCGGCCGGCTTTGCGGGTGGAGATGGCCTGGGGACGGAGACTGTGCGGGCGCCGGTTCCGGGATCGCCCCCACCCGAGTCCTGGGCGCTGGCAGCTGGGAGGCGCTGCGTCTCCCAGCCTGGACACTCCCCCACCTGAGGCTCTGGAGGAAAAGTCCTGGGAGCAAGTTTAGGGCAGATTGGTTAAGAGTGTGAGAGAGTGAGTGAGTGTACGCGCACGCAGTTATTGTTACTGATGCTGCTGGTGTTGGTGGACTACCCCCAAATTCACCATTCACGTACGCAGAGTCATTCACAGTTCAGCCAGAACACTGAGCTATGAGCCCAGTTGTACTGTACCTTAAGTAATAGATACTTGGTTTTAAAGAAACACGCAACTAGGTGTGTGTGTGGCTCTCCGGAGAGGAAGAAAAGCAACTGTAGTGTACTTGTACAGATGTTCAGCTACTCGCGTTTTGCGCGATGAGTAACTGTTCACGTTAGCAATAATAAATGGGAAATTGAAGGCTGCAAAAGAAACTGACTTTAAAATCAGTTACTATGTCTAATGTTATAGTAGGTATAGGGGGCTGCAGAGTGGGTCAGATAAGTGTCAGACAGCTCTTTGCTGGGTGTTTTTGGGCAGCAGTGTAGGAAATATTGATAACTGTAAAGCAGATTTTCAAAGAACTTAAAAAAGGTGAAACTAATAGAAGTAAGGTATTGAAGAAAATTTATCTTTGTGATTTGAGAGATTATTCTTTTGTAGTGTAAAATGTAACTAAGTTGATTATTGTGAGAAACCAGAAAGTGAGGCTTTTTTTTTTTTTAATCTCTCTAGTATTTTATATCTCTAGTCCTCTGCAAGCAGCACTCTGAGTTTGAGATTAAAAGTGAATGACAGGATCCTGCCTGTATACAGAACAGTGGGCTACCCGGAAAAGTAAATTCACCTTTATTGGCAATGCCATGTGGTAGACTTTTTCATGCGTTATCAGGACATCAATTTTAATGTTAATTTTTGCTCTAATTGTTTCTACTTGAGTGGAATTCTATATTTAGTGTATTGTTTGGGCTACCTAATTTAGAAGTAGGGTGGAGAGGTCACAGGAGGTGGGGCATTGGTGGTTGAAAGCATTGGCATGAAGACTGGACTAAAGTCCTTTAACAGGCTTTAATGTGAAGATTTCCAAAGTTCAGTTTTAGAAAATGATTGTGTTAGCACTACATCCTCTTGGTAGGCTTTTGGCAAAAAATCAGGACTTTAACAGCTGCCAACACTGCTGGGTGAAGACGGTCAGGCCGGTTCTTTGTTAATAAGTCCTCAAGATAAACTCTTGCTATAAATGACATCATAGTAAGGCAGGCAACTTAAGTACAGAGATCCTCCTTTAGGGAGGGTATGTTGTACCTACAGTCTGTAGAAGTAAAAACTCCTGAATTAGCTGCCCAACCATGTCAGCAGTTGGTATAGCTATATTTTCTTTTCTAGTTGTATTAAGATTGTCTTAATTCGCCAGGTTTTTGTGCTTAAATCTATAAATATCACCAAGATTGTTTTGCTTGGAGTGCTAAAATTTAGAATTCACAGAATATATTAAGTTAGATGTGATAGCTCATACCTAAAATCACAGTGCTTGTGAGTCTAAAGCAAGAGAATTGAGGCCAGACTGGGCAACGAAACTAGTGAGTTCCAGGCTAACCTGGGCTACAAATTGAAATCCTGTCTAAAAGAAAAAAAAGAGGCAGGAGGAGAGAGAGAGTGCCAGGTACGGTGGCTCACACTCGTAATCCCAGCACTCTGGAACCTGAAGCAGAAAGATCACCATGAATTTGAGTTCAGCCTGAGCTATGTATTGTGACCCTGCTTAAAAATAGAAGAGAGATTAAGTTAGAAAGTAATCTTTTGGTGTGGGCCAAATATGGCATGTAATATGAAGCAAGAGAAAAAACAATCAGAAGAAACACATTTTATTCTTGGTTGTTTCTTTTGGGAAAGTTGCTTACAATTTCTGTTTCAAAGTTTCTATAGTAATGCAAATAAATTTAAGTGATGAATAGAAATAGTGGATAGGTGATTGGTTAGTGAATCAGAAAAGAACATTTAGTCAGGTCTTTGTAAAAAGTGTAGGAAAAATACGTTATACTAACCAAGGGAAACATTAAGGGCCTTAAAATGTCAGTATGTTTAATTCTTTATTTTAAGAACTAATTCTTTTTAAAATTTTTTAAAATTTATTTTTATTTTATGTGTGTGAGTATATTGCCTGCATGTGTGTAAGTGTACCAGTGTCCTGCAATGCCCACAGAGGTCAGAAGAAGGCATTAGATCCCCTGGAACTGGAGCTATAGGTGGTTTGTTAACCACCATGTGGGTGCTGGTAATTGAACCCAGGTCCTCTGCAAGAGCAGTCAGTGCTCTTAACCTCTGAGCCATCTCTCCAGCCCCCAGGAACTAATCCTTGTATACAGTTACTACATTAATATGCTGGGTGTTATATTCATTTTTTTAAATGAATTGTATTTTAAAAGCTGGCTTGGGAGTTGAAAGTCTCTAGGTCAAAGAATTAGATTGAAAATTATTGTTTGAACATGACTTATTTTATTAATTTTAGTGGGTTCTGAACCTGACAAATTAAATTAAAAATAAATAGGAGAGAATTGTAGCCCACATTCAAAACTAAATTATTTTAAATACAATCTTAAAACATCTTGTCATTTGTCTTCTGGCTAAATCAAAATTTAAAACATAAGCATTTTAGTTTATATACTGTCACTAAATTGTAAGAATAGTCACTGCTCGTGAAGATAAGGATTCTGCTTTCCTCCTAAGTTTAAGGTTTTTTAAATATTTTATTTTTATTTTATCTGTATGAGTGTATTGCGTGCATACATGTGAGTGCACCTGTGTCGTGCAATGCCGCGGAGGTTAGAAGAGGGCTTTGGGTTCCCTTGAACTGGAGTTAAGGACTGTTCGTAGCTGCCATGTGCGTGCTGGGAAATGAACCCAGGTCCTCTGCAAGAGCAGTCAGTGCTCTTAACTGCTGAGCCATCGCTCCAGTCCCCATAAGTTTAGTTTTTGATATTTTGTCCAGACTTTTTCCAGTTACTCACAGACTCGATAATAATATAACATGATGCCCTGGCAAGTAAACCTTTTGATCTCTGTATGCTTTGTGCAGCTTTTAATTTATTTGTGACATAAATGCTTGAAGTGCCATAAATACCACATTGAATGGATGAATTAGTTAATGAAAATCTTCAAACAATACAAAATAACCTGTTTATGTTAGAGAACCTCAGAACAGAACAAGAAAAATAATTCACCATTACCATACTCAACAGAACTTGCTGAAAACACCAAAACCAAAAAGTCAATAGAAAAAAATATTTCTATATCTACTTATGCATCATAAAAGAAAACATGCTATTTGATGGCTAAATATCTTCTAATCACAGTTCCTTATATGGTGTATTGTGTGTGGAATGCCAGAACCTAAACCACCCTGCTGAAATTCATTAACTTTAGAAGAGAATTGAAACCAGTTAGATTATCTTGCTCACTTCTGTGCCTCAAGCAAAACAGTACTTGGATTTTAAGTCAATACTGATTTGGTTTTTAAACCTGATTGCCTTGAGTGAAAATGGTGTGGAGGGAACAGTCCTCAAATGCCTTCAGTCACTGAGGAAAATCGAACACACTGCATTCTGAAAAGATCACTGTTCAGAATTCCAAACAAAAGCATATCCCTGCCAGAACAGTGTCCTTCCTAACCAAATTTGGTGTTTAGTCTGGTCTGTGCAGACTTCCATAGCACTCGCTCAAGAAATCGAAGGTATGTTCCAGTTCAGATAAACTCATTCCTATTGGATTTATCCCCTTGAAGCCTAAGTAAGAGATGGATGCATCTTGTGACTTAGAGTTTGTAATTTGAGTAATTTTGAAAACATAAAGTTATAGGTTATATAATGTATATTTCAACTCAGAGACTAAAAATTTTTTAATCTGTTAGATTAAGGTTTGTTTGCTTTGTTTAATTCCAAAAATTGTGATGTACTTTAATTGTAAATTTTTCTTTCACAAAGTCTTGATTTTTACCCAGGAAGCCAGTATCAATTTACTAACTTCATAACGAGGCGTTTAATAACATTTGCCTTACATAGTAAAATTAACTATTTATATTTTTAAGGTTTGTGAGTGTGTGTCTGTGTGTGTATATATGCCTCGTGTGTCCCAGTGTCAGAAGAGAGCATCATATCTCCATAGAGCTGGAGTTACAGGTGGTTTTAAGCATTTTGATATGGATGCTGGGAACCAAACTCAGGCTCTCTACAGGAACAGCAATTGCTCTTAACTGCTGAGTCATCTCTCCAGCCCCAAAATGTTACAACACTTTGGTTCTACAATCCAACAAGTGTTTTGTCAAACTATTGCTAAGCAGTTTACTTTTTTTTTTTTTTTTAAGTCTTTTTGAGACAGGTTCTCCCTGTAGCCCCCCTGGCCTGTATTGAACAGTGACCTGACCCCCCCCACACACACACACTCGTCCCAACATATTTTATGCTTCTATTACCCTTTAATTGTTGATATTTATATTTTAGATGTATTTGTGGGGTAGTTTTTCATGTTTGATATGAGGTAATGCCAAAGTAAACAGTTGTATGAAGTTCTGTTGGGGCAGGCCCATTATATTTAGCATATCTTCGTGTAAATGGATGAGGGGTACCTTACTTTTAAATTGATGCAAACACTGAAATATGACTTACTGCTCATATAGGTCAAAGGACAGCTTACAAGAGTGAGTGGAACTCAGGTTGTCAGACTTGACAGCAAACCCCTTTCCCCACTGACATCTCACTGGACCTTCTCTTTGTTCTTATATTCCTTACATGTTTATTTTAATAAGGTTTTATTATTTGACTTATTTTAGAGGGATTTTTTTTCCTTCATACTTTCACCTGTTTTCTGTTAATTGACTTGTTTCTTACAAGCAAAAGTAGTTATTGATTTTTTTTTCTTTTGTATCACTTTCATACCCCACTATTGAATGTATATTTGGAATCTCCTCACCTTTTTTTGAGACATGGTCTCACTATGTAGCTAGGGCTGACTAGGAACTCTAAATCAGGCTGGCCTCAAACTCATCTGCCTTTCTCCCAGGTGCTAGGATTAAAGGCATACACTATGATGCCCAACTATAACACAGCTTTTAAGCCTAGTACTCAAGACTCTGTCCAGCCTTATTCTCTATTACTCTTTGATTTCTATAGTCTGCTAATAACTGCTTCTAAAATTGTATACTTATATATCTGTTATCCCAGAATCACTCAGCAAGTGTTCACTGGATAAGCAAAAAGGGGAAGTTACTTTTTTGCATAGAAATTGATTAGAATGGTTTATTTCTGAGTGGTCATTGTTATTCTGATATACTTGTATTTGTTTTCAGAGTTATTTACCATGAATAAAGCTTGTATAATTGGTAAAATAATGGTTGGTCTCTTTTGAACTACATGTATGGGATTGAATGTTAATGTATCAGTAGCATCTTAGCAAAAGGATACTTAGAGAATATTCAAACACTGATAACTTTTAAATTGATTTCAAAGTGAGGTCATTCTAGTCTAACAACGAATGTTTCCAGTTGCTGCAAGAAAACCATTGGGGCTTAACTAAGAAACAGGTTACTTTTCTTATGTCATAAAAAAGTCTATAAATAGGAGCTGGGCATGGTGGCACATGCCTTTAATCCCAGCACTTGGGAGGCAGAAGCAGGTGGATCTCTGTGAGTTCAGGGTCTTCATGGTGTACATAGTGAGTTCCAGGCCAGCTGGAGCTGCAGGGAGACCCTGTTTAAAAAAAAAAGCCTAGAAATAGACTCATTGCTGCTATTTCCAGAATCCTGTTATATTTTGCCATCCTTAGTTGTTCATTTTTGATTATTGTATTTATTTTTGCAAGATGAATGTTACAGCTCTAGACATTTATTGCAGGAATAAGAAGGTGGTTCCAACTGGGTGGTTCCTTTTGTCAGGGAAGTAAGACTTTCTCAGAGCCCTCCCAGCAGATCACCATGTATGGCCCAGAGCTGGGGGTATACGACCATCAGCTGCAAGGATAGGCCAGTGGGGAATAGCAAGGGGAAGAACTGAGAAGGGTTTTGGGTAGGTAGGTCTGTAGAACAGCGCTTCTTAAACTTTTCCCACTTGCCTAAGGGATTGTTATGCTAACTATGGTATGTAGGTATATGACATAGATATACAAAATCAAACATTTGCTGATAAACTATTTTAAGGCACTCCTTTGGTATGCATATAATTTTACCATTTACTGAAAGTGAAAGCAAATCTGCATACTAATTAGGTGAATGTGTTTATTTTTACATTAAGAATTAAAACCTAGATGAATATTTGATACTGCAAGATGTAGAACATCTTCAGTGTTAGAAGGAAACTGACACCTGTGACTTAGTCCACACACAAACTAATTTTAAAATTTTAATTAAAAAATCAGAATATAAAATGTATATATATCAAAGAAAGATAGCTGTGAAATTAAGACACAACTGAAAAATACCTAGTAACAAGGGTCATATTAGTCCCAGGGCTATAATTCAGTGGTAGAGCATTGACTGCAAAGGCCAAATAGGTTGGAAAAGAGAATGAGAAGCAGTCAAGTAGAGCAAAAAATCTGACTGCAGGTCTAAAAAGATTTATTTTTAAGATGGGTAGGACTTGAGAAGGTTGAACACTGGCAGGAACACTAGTTGAAAATGAGCCTCTAGCAATGAGAAAGAAGCAAGGAGACTCTGGGTACTTTTGTATATCTGCATGCTCCCTTGTTTTTTCTTAAAGGAAAAGGACACCGGATCCCAAAATACACAATAATCATGACCCCAAGTGGGGAAAAACCTTTAACATTATAGAATACTTCTTAGGTCTCCTACCATGGGGTACCAGGGATCGAAAGCATGTTGTCTGGTTTGGTGGCATGGGCCTTTAACCTGTTGAGCTATCTTGCCAGCCCTTAATCCTGATTTTTAAAATTCTATGCCTCTGGCTCTTTCTCAGTTTTGGTCCAAATGTGGTTTCTCTAGTCCCTAGTGTTTAAATTACTTTCGACAAGGGATCCACAGGGTTCAAAGTACATTAAAATTCGATGTCTTTTTCACTTTGTTGAAGGTTGTGTTTGATACCGTTCCCTGTCTTCAGCCTTAACTTCCTTTGGTTTCTTGAATGCTACAAGCTCATTTTGTCCTTTGCGTCTTTAAGCATCCTATTAGTAGTGACTAGACTACAGTTTCACACTAACATTGTTGGCTTCATGACTAGTACTGAGAGATGACCACGAGTGAGATGCTTATTCACTTCTTCAGCAAACCTTTTCAAAGGCTTTTTCGAACATCTCCTGTCTTCTAAACTCAGTTCTCCTACATACTCTCGTAACACTGGATCACAGTATTAGAAAGAATCCTGAATTTTAAATGATCACAAAATTAATGGAAGAGTGTTTGAATTTTAATTTGTCATTAACAGTTTTTGTATCTGTCAAAGTTCTAGTTTCTTTATCTGAAAAATAATAATAGCATTGAAAATATAAGTCCAGTTTGGTGGTACAGCTATCTAATCCCAACTACTTAGAAGGTTGACTCAAGAGGATCCCAGATTCAAGACCCACTTGGGCAGTTGACTGAAATCTTGTCTCAAAACAAAAACGTTTTTAAAGAAGTTGGAAGAAGCTGGGGTAGAACTCAAGAGTTGGTGGGTAGCAGGTAGGGACCAGGACCCCCTAGGTTCAACCCCTAATATGTGTAGGTGGGATGGGGGGAGGAAATACAATCTTAATACTTGTCAGAATAGACCCTGGAATACAAGAATGAAAACAGATGTTTTTCTCATGGAGTTAATTCTGGTGGATTTACATACAGTAATTTCTAAGGCCCCTTACACTCAAGAGGCATAGTAGATATACTATTTTGTAAAAGTTAAATGTATCATGGTATCTTTATGTCTCCTCATCTGTAATTTGTGTACCACATTTGTTTTTGTTTTTCAGTCCAAGCCTTATGCATTTGATCGAGTGTTCCAGTCAAGCACGTCACAAGAGCAAGTATATAATGACTGTGCAAAAAAGATTGTTAAAGGTAAATATGTCTCATTTGTTGAACTCAATTTACTTTTCCAGCAGTAAGTAAAGTTTGGTTTGTGATCTTTCCCACTTAACCCAACACTTGCTTTTTATTTTTAATGCCCCTTTTGCCCACATTAGAAGAAAGTTAACAAAAATACAATTAGTAAGCATATTGTGATTTTTTTTGTCTTTTCAGTTATTATCTAATAATACACAGTTCCTAGTAAAGGGTATTAAAGGTTATTCTTCAAAGGTGAATTTCTATTCACTATTCCCAGGAGACTTTCCAAGGTAGCATTTTAGAAATGGAATAACATGAGAATGAAAATAAAGTGGCCAAATCTCTATGTTACTTTTCTGTTGCTGTGATAAAAACCATGACCAGGGCAACTTATAGAAGGAAGTATTTATTTGGCTTACAGTTCCAAAGGAATAGAGTCCATCGTGGTAGGAGGGAGGCATGGCAGAAGGCAGCTGGAACAGAAAGCCAAGCACTCACATTTTCAAACAGGTACAGGAAGCAGAGAGATAAGCTGGGAATATACTCTCAAAGCCCACCCCCAGTGACATGGTTCCTCCAGCAAAGCTGTACCTTCTAAACCTCCACAACCTCCACAAACGGCACCACCAACTGGGGCCAAGTTTAAATTCTTGTAGTTTATGGGGGCATTCCTCATTCAAATCACTACGCCAAACAAATCTAGAAATTTCATTACTATTCCTTCCCAAAGGCATATTAACTCATAGTCATCAGAGAAACCCTTGAGGAATTTATTAGGGATTGCTAAAGATAAAAAAAGGTAACTCATATAGGGCATTTTTCAGTTTTATATTTTTTAAACCCATAGACCTCAAAGCAGAAAGGGTGCTAAATGATTATCAGGAATTCTTGGTTACTATAAAAATACTTTTTATTAAAGGAATCTCAGTTAAATACCTGTTTATGATGACTTACTCTACTTATTGACAACTCTAGTTAGTTAAAATGAAGCAGAAATCTTTCTTCTTGTGTCATTTGCCAGATTAAATTTGTTGGGACTCAATATGAAAGTGAATGAGTTAGGGCCAGATGTGGTAGCATACACCTTTAATCCCAGCACTTGGGAGGCAGAGGCAGGTGGATCTTTTTGAGTTCGTCTAGCTTGGTCTACATAGAGTTCCAGCCTGTGCTACATAGTGAGACCCTGACTCAAAAAAATGAAGGAGTTAAGTTTAAATAGCACAGATAGAACATCTTAATAGCAGAAGAGAAAGGTTGAGTTTGTGATTAAAAGGTTTATAGATGTCATGGAGGGGAACTACAGACATCCTTTTCATATTAATTTTCAGATAAGGAAGTGTTTATTATAACAGCCTACCATGGTGCCCAAGGTGACTAAGTTATAGTATCAGGGAGCTTGAAAGAAAGTGAAGAAAGGTGGTAAGATTAGGGAGTTAACATGCCTAAAATCCCAGCATTCAGGAAGCAGAGTTAGGAGGATTACTACAAGTTCAAGACCACCCTGGGTTAGCGTTAGGCTCAGACCAACCAGGGCTATATAGCAAGATCCCAAAACAAAGTCTCCAAAAAACAAAGCAAACTGACAGAAAGATTAGTGGGTTATAGATTCCAAGTGAAGACAAAGGATTCTTGGAGCCTGTGAATCAGAAATATTAGAAGAATTAAGATTATGGAGGTGGTGCAATTAACTCATAGTGAAAGTTTTATTGTGGAATTGGCTATCATATTTCGTATCTTAGAGGGCAGTGTATCAGGTCATGTACTGCATGGATTTTAATCCACCATGAATTATAACAGGAATTATTGGTGAGAGACAGCAAACTGGATGCTGAAATCCTCATAAAATGAGGGAGAATTAATTTGTGATTCTATAACCACAGCAAAGAGGAATAGCATTTGTTATGCTGTGTTGTACACATCAAATAAGTTTTCCCAAACGGTCTTTTATAGGGTTTAATTATATTGCACTCTTTGATTGTGGCATACTTTGTGTGTGTGTGTGTGCGCGCGTGCGCGTGTGTACACGTACACGTGGGTGCTTAGAGGCCAGTGGTTGACTTTAGTGTCTTCCTCACTTGCTTTTCCACTTTGTTTTAGATTTTAGTTACTTTAGTTATATGTATGTTTGTGTTCCTGTGTGTGTATGCCATGTGTGTCTTGGCACCCGTAGAGGCCAGAAGAAGGCATGGGGTCCCCTGGAGCTGGAGTTACAGGCAGTTGTGAGCTGCCTGATATGGGTGCTAAGAACTGAACTTCCGTCTTCTGGAAGAGCAATTGCTCTTAACTGATGAGCCACCTTTCCGGCCCCTCCACTTTATTTTTTGAGACAGGGTCTCATTGAACCTAGAGGGCCTTGATTAGGCTAGACTGGCTTGCCTCCACCTCCCAGGCACAAGAATTGCAGGTATGAGCCACCATGCCCATGGCAGTCACTTTTCCTACTGAGCATCTCCCCAACCCTACTTTGTTTTTTCTTTTTCAGGCAGGGTTTCCCAGTAGCCCCAACCTGCTTGGAACTCACTGTGTAGACCAGACTTGTCTCAATCTCAGATCCCTCAGAGAATCACCTGCCTCTGCCTCCCAAGTGCTGGGTTTAAAGGCATGGGCTACCATGCCTACTTTTTTCATTAGTTTAGTTTAAAATTATATTAGCTTTTTGTTTTGTTTTGTTTTTGCAGTACCAGGGATCAAACCCAAGACCTTCCACTGAACTATATCCGCAGCCCAAGATTACATCACCTTTTAAAACAATAAGTGACTGATTTCATGAATTCCCAGGCAATTTAAATGTACAGATCGTTTAACTGTGCAGCAAGGTTTAACCCACGTTCCATACTTTGACATTGGAGCTTAAACATTTTAAGTATCGATTCCATTTTGTTCAGTTTAGTCATGGTCATATTTTAGTTTTGATTTTATAGGCACCTTCTAGAGATCTATTCAGTTGACTGTTAGCATATTTGATGAGTCTATAATAATGTCAAGGACATTGAAGTTTGAAAAATACATAAAATTCTTTTTTTTTTTTTTTGGTCTTTTTGAAGCAGGGTCTCCCTGTAGCCCCAGCTGTCCTGAAACTCAACTGTGTAGACCAGGCTGGCCTTGAACTCACAGAGACCCGCCTGCTTCTGCCTCCCAAGTGCTGGGACTACAGGCGTGCACCACCACGCCTGGCTGACATAAAATTCTCAATAGGTCATAGTTCTAAGCCTAATCTTTAAAAGCTGGGTAAGATTGTTAACAGTTAAATTAAATCAGTAAATTCATGTTTGGGTAGTCAGCTTATTCAGAACTTCTTATTGGTAGAGTCTGGTTTTCAGTTTGTCAAAACAACCCTAAGAATGAATGAAGAAGTTGGATCTTTCATGGCACAGGTATTTCCCAAAGTACCAAATAGAAATGAAACGAACAAAAATAAAGTTTGTTTAACCATGTTTTTTTCCTTAATAAAATTTTAGTATTTTTTTGTAATTTGCATCATCTCTCATTTTGGTAGTTTGTTTGTTTGTTGGGGTGTGGGGGTTGAGACAGTCTTCCTGGAGCCTCAGCTGGCCTGAAACTTACTATATGGACCATGCTGGCCTCAATCTCAGAGATCCTGCCTCTGCCTCCTGAGTGCAGGGATTAAAGACGTGCACCACCTGGCCCACGTAGGGGCTCTAATTTTTAAAAATTATTCTTTTTCAACCTATTCTAATGATTCTTATCTCTTGTACAACCTGGATATATACCCTAGATATATTCTTTGAGATCTGTTGTATGTGACTTTTGTTTATTACTGTTTACAATTTTAAGATGACAGACTTTGTTTTCTGAAATCCCCCTTTTCACAAAATTTTAGTCCTTTGTACTTCAGTGGTTCTGCAATGTTTGCAACTAAGTTCAAGATAGTTCCCTTTTTGGTAGTGTGCTGGACAGCTTTAGTGTCAACTTGATACACCTGGGTTGAGGTAGCCTCAACTGGGGAATTGCCTATATTGGACTGGCCTGTGGCCATGTCTGAGGAGCATCTTCTTGATGAGTGATGTGGGAGGGCCCAGCCCACTGTGGGTGGTGCCACCCCTCAGCAGGGGCCAGGGAGCAAGCCAGTAAGCAGAGTTCCTACATGGCCTGTGTTCCAGGTTCCTGCCCTGAGTTCCTACCTTGGGCTCCTGGATGAACTGTGACCTGGGATATGTAAGATAAATAAACCATTTCCTCCCCAAGTTGATACTGGTCAGAGTGTTTTGTCACAGAAATGGAGAGACAAACTAGGACAGGCAATATGATTAAAGAGTTTAGGCTTTAGAATCAGACAGGCCTATTATAGAAAACTAGGCTCTTGATATCTTGCTGCATGACTTTTGCATAAGTTATATAAGTTTCTCAGTCTCCAGTTTCTCCTCTCCAAAAATAAGAGGTACTGTGAGGACTTAAATGTACAGTTATTTTCCTTTTATTTTAGAGTAAATTATTACATTCATCTATTATCTGTGGGGTAATCTCATAGTTAAAGACTTCTATTCTCTGAATTAGATTTCCAGAAGTATTAGATTTTTGTCACTCTTTTTGAAGAATTTAAAGTTTATTTTTATTTTACGTGCATGAGTGTTTTGCCACTCATGTACAAAGTGCACTCATGCATGCAATGCCCATGGAGACCAGAACCCATGGGATTATGGATAGTTGTTAGCTGCCATGTGGGTGCTGGGAACCAAGCCTGGGTCCTCTGCAAGAGCAGCAAGTGCTCTTAACCACTGAACCATCTCTCCAGTCCTCTTTTTTTAAATACCTAAGTTTTTTGGGTGGGGGCATGGGAAGATGTCACTTGGGATGTGGGTATATAGATGAAAAGACTGTTTGGGATATTCTGTATGAAATAGACACGCAAAATCAATCAACAAATAATGTGTTATATTTGAGGAAGAAGCATAAAAATTTGCTTCATGTTAGTTAGTAGATGTGAAAAACATTGCCATTGAAATCTACCTGATGAGTTTATATCCATGCTCAGATGCCAAGGAGCTCAGAAA